AGGCGGCCGTGGTCGGTGGGCTCCGGCTGGCGCAGCGGCCGAGGCGGCGGCGCGGGTGAGCGGAACTGAGCCCGGCAAGTCCCCGGAGGCGATGTTGCCCGGCGCGGGCTCCTGCGTAAGGCGGGCGCTGTGACAGGCCGGCCGGTGAGGCGCCGCCGGGGGAGGCCGCGACGGAGCTCCCGGACCGGCCATGGGCTGAGACACGTCCTCGCCGAGCAGGTGCAGTGTCCTGATGTCCCGGGGGGAGCCCGCCCCGACAGGCCCCAGGGACCCTCAACCCCGTCAGGATGCGCCCTACCCAGCCTGGTGCGCTGTTGACCTTCCCTTAGCTCTTCCCAAAAGGCCCTGCTGACCCCGCCTCCAAACCCGGCTGGTGCAATCCCTGTGACCCCGAACAGTTCCTGACATTCTTTGCATACCCCCGTCCTACACCCCTGTTACCCTAGCCAGTAGGCCCTTGTGCCATCTCCTCTTCTGCCCCAGTGTTTTGAGCCCACTGCCTGCACAGTGCCTAAGTGCCTGGGAACTACCCAGCATCTCTTCTTTTCTCTTCTAGCCCAACCAGAGTGGGGATGGGGTCGGAGGGGAAAGTGGGAGAGCTGGTCTTTCCCTCCAGAGGCCCTGGTGACTGCAAACCCATGCTTTCTTTCAAGCCTGTGGTGAAATTGACCCTTCTGTACCCCACCAGAACATGCCCGGGTGATTCCCTCCCAGATCTTCCTTGTGGATTTCCTCGCACTCCCTAGTGACACTATGCAACCCCAGCGTGACCTGCGAGGCCTCTGGCTCCTGCTGCTGTCCTCATTCCTGCTCCTTTTTGAGGTGGCCAGAGCTGGCCGACCCGTGGTTAGCTGTCCTGCCGCCTGCCTGTGCGCCAGCAACATCCTGAGCTGCTCCAAGCAACAGCTGCCCAATGTGCCCCACTCCTTGCCCAGCTACACAGCCCTGCTGGACCTCAGCCACAACAACCTGAGCCGCCTGCGGGCTGAGTGGACCCCCACGCGCCTGACCCACCTGCACTCCCTGCTGCTGAGCCACAACCACCTGAACTTCATCTCCTCTGAGGCCTTTTCCCTGGTACCCAAACTGCGCTACTTGGACCTCTCCTCCAACCAGCTGCGTACACTGGATGAGTTCCTGTTCAGTGAACTGCAAGCACTGGAGGTGCTGCTGCTCTACAATAACCACATCGTGGCAGTGGACCGCTCTGCCTTCGATGACATGGCCCAGCTGCAGAAACTCTACTTGAGCCAGAACCAGATCTCCCGCTTCCCTCTGGAACTGGTCAAGGAAGGAACCAAGCTAACCAAACTAACACTCCTGGATCTCTCTTCCAACAAGCTGAAGAACTTGCCATTGCCTGACCTGCAGAAACTGCCGGCATGGATCAAGAACGGGCTGTACCTGCATAACAACCCCCTGCACTGTGACTGTGAGCTGTACCAGCTCTTTTCACACTGGCAGTACCGGCAGCTGAGCTCTGTGATGGACTTTCAGGAGGATCTGTACTGCATGAGCTCCAAGAAGCTGCACAATGTCTTCAACCTGAGTTTCCTCAACTGTGGTGAGTACAAGGAGCGTGCCTGGGAGGCCCACCTGGGTGAGAAATTGATCATCAAGTGTGACACCAAGCAGCAGGGGATGACTAAGGTGTGGGTGACACCAAGCAATGAACGGGTGCTAGATGAAGTGGCCAATGGCACAGTGAAAGTGTCCGAGGATGGCAGTCTTCATTTCCAGAAGGTGCAGGTCAAGGACGGTGGTGTGTACACCTGCTACGCCATGGGGGAGACTTTCAATGAGACACTGTCTGTGGAGTTGAAAGTGTACAATTCCACCTTGCACGGGCACCATGACACCCTCAACACAGCCTATACCACCCTAGTGGGCTGTATCCTTAGTGTGGTTCTGGTCCTCATATACCTATACCTCACCCCTTGCCGCTGCTGGTGCCGGGGTGTAGAGAAGCCTTCTAGCCATCAAGGAGACAGCCTCAGCTCTTCCATGCTTAGTACCACACCCAACCATGATCCTCTGGCTGGTGGGGACAAAGATGATGGTTTTGACCGGCGGGTGGCCTTCCTGGAACCTGCTGGACCTGGACAGGGTCAAAATGGCAAGCTCAAGCCAGGCAACACCTTGCCGGTGCCCGAGGCAACAGGCAAAGGCCAACGGAGGATGTCGGATCCAGAATCGGTCAGCTCGGTCTTCTCTGATACTCCCATTGTGGTGTGAGCAGGATGGGTTGGTGGGGAGATTCTGCCCCAGGAGAGGTAATGCACCCCGAAGGATATGAGGGGATGGAAGAGAGGGCTGACTGCCCAAGGGAGTGGGTTCCTCCTGACCGCAAGGGAATAGGTCATGGGTACAACAGGAGGCAAGACCCTATCCAGGGTGTGGCTGCCACAGTTTTCAAATATGGATATGTTAATCCTCAGGCAAATGCCACACCCCTATCCCAAAACCTGGCAATTCTCAATGTGGTAGAGGAAGCATGTCTGAGTTGGATGGGAATGAGGAAGGGGTGAGGGGAAGAGCAGAGTCCCTAAACTTTTGAGGTCATTGCTAGCTCCTTAAGCAAAAACCATCTGAAAAATTCTTTCTGCCTCTGCCCACCCACAAGATGTGTATGTTGGAGGGAGCTTCCGCTGGAGCCACACTGGGGGAAAACTGTAGTAATCTTCTCTGGTCAGGAAGTCACACTTCACAGCTGGGGAAATTGGAAACCTTTGGAAAATGAGTCAGGAAAAGGCTAAGTCCTCATCAATAACACTCCCCAAAGCTGTTGTGAGACTTCCCACAAAAGCCTCCCTCTTTCCCGATGAGCCTTGAGTGGATTGGTCTTTGCAGGAGCCTGGCCCATTGCCTGTTAGTTATGGCAGCAGTGTGGGATGTGGGATCTGTGCCTTGTCCTGGGACCAATGGCACAGAGGGGCACAGGGGTCTGTGTCACAGCGTAGGTGCCAGCACAAAACTTATAGATGGGGGGTGAATTCCAGATAGGGTGATTCTCTGGTTAGTGAAACCCTTGGTTAGCATTTGATTTCCAGCATCTGTGTGTCAGACTAGAGTGGGGGCTGCTGAAGGGCAGAGAGCTTTTATGGATGCCTGCCACAGACATGGTATGTGGGCCCACTTCAAACTAGAAGGATGAGAATAAATCAGTCTCTATTATGTAGCATCCAGCTGGACCTACCTGATTGTCTGTATATGCCATCTCTTCATTCAGTCTCCTTATAAAGCTCAGATGGGATTCTGAGTTTTCCCTAATATGCTGCTCTACAAAGGGAGTAGTCCAGCAAAGTCTGGCCCCGGCTGGGTTAGATCAGCCTTGGAGATAGAGGGGACTTGCTAATGTATCTCCTGTATGTTCAGAAGGCTGCCTCAGTCCTCTTTCAGAGATCTCACTCTGCTGCAAAGCCAAAGCATGGGATTTTGTCATCTGAGTAGCTAGAATTGGGTAGTCTCTGTTTCAGAATGGCAATTTGGAGCGTGGCTCAGAGTTCTGCCCTCTCCAGAAGGTTCCAGGCAATCCTGTGGCAGAGACAATCAGTGGCGCTAAACTTTCAGAAGGAGAGTTCAGCCACCCGGATGAAGCCACCCTCTCAGCCAAAGGTCTGAGCAGTTGTGGTTGCTAGGCCACAGGAACTTAAGAAGAATGAACCCAACATTTCAGTCCACCTAAGGATGCAGAATACTTTGGGCATGGAGATGACTGCTCTCTTTGACTGTACTGTAGGCCCTGGGAGATAGTTGCTCTGAGCTTTGCAGGGGGATGATCAAAGGTGAAAATGTCCTTAATGTTGGTCTTTTTCAGTGTCTCCTCCCACGTTTCCTGTCCACTGGAAGTTCTCCAGATCCTCTTAGTTTTCTGACCTGTTCTTTAGGTTCCAAGAGGTGTTATTTACCTGTGGGTGAGGGCTGCTTCCTAGGAGGGCCTGAATGTTAAGCTGCGTATTAAGATTGGGGCAGGGGACTGGAACTCAACATCTTCCCCTTGTCTGTTCCTGGGATCTCAATACTGCTTTCCTTCCTTTATTAATAACCTAGTTTTGTTGAGCGAGAGGTGCAGCATTTCCCTCAAGTACTTGCATGCTCATAGGGATGCATGCTTATAGGTGTGCACACACACCAGCACCTTGACTTCCATCAGGACAGTGAGTCTGTAGTCCTCACTAATGCCACTCCCAGAATGGTCTCCACCTATGTGCACAACGTCATGCACACAATTTTCTTGCCCTGTAGGAGACAATGACCACGCCAGGCTTCTCAAATACACAACTCTTGTACTGTAATTTCTGAACTCCCTGAAGCTTCACTTTCACCCACATCTCTGTGGCAATGAATCACTTCTCTGCAAAGGCTGGAGTTAGGAGAACCACAGGCTGAAGACCTTGGGAGAAGGGGTGGTGAGGAGCTAGCTGGCTCTTCAAACTCCTCAGAAACCTTAAAGACTTTATATATGAGAAATTAAGATAGAACTAGGTCAATGAAGAACCCAGAAGGAACTGGCAGGGGGCCAGGCAGCTGTGAGTTGTTCTTCCTATATTAGCTTTCTTGATGAGGCAAAGGCAGGAAAGAAAAGTCTGTTATATTCCAGAGACTTCTGAGGATTTTGTTACTGGAGCTATAAGAACAAGGACTCCCTCCTCAAACCTGGGAAATTCTCATCTCCACGCTGAAGTTTCCCCTCTTGGCACATCTAGGGCTCTGGAAATCTTTATAGTGAAGTCAAATGTAGCAGGCCTTCTGGGGCATTCAGGCGTAGTTCCTGAGGACTAGGGAGGGCATTTTCTTCCTAAGTCCTACTCAGTTTAGGGAATAAGAAAAGGCCTTGCAGCTCTAAGTCTCCCTGCTATATCTGCTATTTTGGCCCCTTGTTTGAGACACTTGGTAGATGTGCCTGGTTGCCCCACCAAGAGATGTAACTGATTAGCCTCCCCTGTGGTTTCAGTTGATAGAACCCAAAGGTAGCTTTTTACTTGGAGATTTGAGTCCTCAGCATATTTAAGCTCCTAGAACCCTGTGTAGAAAACTGCCAGGTGTGGTTATAACAAAAGGCTGAGAGATCACCTCCTCCCCTCACCCCACCTGGAACCCATAAACCATACATGTCTCACAGGAAGCAAGTGTCCCTGGAGACAGAGTATGACAGGGCTGTACAATCTGTCTGTGTAATTATTTGTGATCTTTTTTCTTTGCCTATATTTATGGGGCCCCCAGGAAGGGGCCAGGAGAGGGTACACGCCAGCTAGAGAGAGCAAAGCTAACTGATTCCAGTTTTCTGTGTGTGCTTACCTCTATACTTCCTCGTAGCCCTGCTGACAAAGCAAGCAGGCTTCCCGTGTCCAGGACCCTGTTCCTCCCACTTGTGTATACCCAGCTGGCAAACCTTGGAGCCTCTGGGCTCTGAAAACTAGACAATGATCATTAAACCTGGCTTGAGTCTCTGTTCTGGCACAGTCTGACTGGTTTATTTATCTTTTCAGCCTGTGTTCACTGTTCACTGTGTTTTCACTATTCCTTAGAAGGGCGTGGCCTGCCTAGGGAGAGAATCTTTAAATCCTGTTGTAAGAACAAGAGTAAAATCCACATCTAGGCCTTAAGATAGACCAGGGGTCGCAAACTTTTTCTGAAATGAACCAGATAGTAAATATTTCAGGCTTTGCACATGATACAATCTCCGTTACAATTCAGCTGTGCCACTGTAGCAGGAAAGCAGCCACGAACAGCATGTAAATGAATGATTGTGGCTCTGTTCCAATAAGACTTTATTTATGGGCATTGAAATTTGAATTTCATATGATTATAACATGTCTTTTGAGTTTTTTCAACCATTTAAAAATGTAAAAACTATTATCAGCTCACAGACCACACAAAACCAGGGAGCAGGCTGGTTTGACTAGTGGCCCATAGTTTGCCAACCCATGAGATAGAGTCTCAAAAGAAATGACACTGAGGCTTTAGAGTTTAGAAATCCCATGACTTGGGGCTAACACTTGTAGATAATGAAGGCTTCAAGGGTCCCTCAGTAGGAGGGTTGCCTCCCTGCATAGTTCTCTTAAAAGTCTGGATGGAGCCTACTAACCATACTATGGAAAAATGCTTGGATTGGATTTTTTAAAAATGGTGGGGAGCACCTCACTTTCACAAAATTTTGATTATTACCAGTTTTCATGTTGTGAATAGTAGCCATCTTGGTTAGGCTAAAAGTATATTCATCTAATGGGCAGGTTAATATTCAATAACATTTTAGTGTGTCTAGGCATTGCATAGAATGACAAAATGCAATCTTCATTTTTTTTTGTACAGATAGAGCCTACAGAAATTACACTGGATTCTGAACTCTGATCATGCAAATTCTTTGGCTACTCTCTTGGTACTTCTGGAAGGGGACTGTCATGGTAGATTCCAAAGTGGGAGGAAATGGTATAAGGAAAAAATTAAAAGAATAAAAATTGGAATACCTAATTTCTTACATTTACAAAATCTCAACCAAAGGATAGAACTCCTTTATCCAGAAAGTTGTATTTTTAACTTGAGGAGGAACAACCAAGATGGTGAGGGATAGAGACACCTCACACCAGCCATAACAGGCAAATCAACATTGGCAGTCAATGAAATGATAGATGTTGATGCAAGAGCACTCCCATAGTCATAGTTTTAATCTTGGCAAAGCAGTTTTTGCTATGGCTGATGGTTTGGCCAAGAAGATGCAGCTGGTAGAGAACAGATATAGGGAGTTCTCTCTATTTTGGCCTGTGCCAAGTCCTGTCTCTGAGCCTGAGAAACTTTGATACATCTCTGTCCATCCCAGGGAAGTCCATGGTTGCATCTCTTCAACCATTCCCCACCTCCACCCCCGAGCCACAAGAAGTTCCCTAGACTCTGGCCACGATGTGCGGTTTTGTCTGCCTATGTCTTACAGCACCTTCCCTAGCTCCTCTTAGGTAGCACTTTCGAGAGGGAGTGTGGGGAGACTAACATGACGTTGCTCTTTAGAACAAAAGATGAGAGTTCAGTGCACCAGCTAGTCTAGTCTCTTCTACCTGGTCTCTGAACTCCTTCCCTTTCTGCATTAGCAGTTCTTGCACCATTTTTCTTGTCTCCCAGGAAACCAGTGGCGAAGTTCCACTTTCCCCACCCACATGGCAGGAAAGGTTCAGGCCCCTGCAATAGGATGGCTGGTTTTTCTGGTCTGGTCACAGTGAGCCAATGCTGTATGCTTCCTCTCCTGGGGTTTGAGAGAGGAAGGCTAAAGCAGCTGCCAATCAAGCCTTTTCATCAGGCTTATATAGTGTCAGGTCAAACATATCAAATGGTGAAGATATTTTAGACCGGCCTTGAGGCCTTACAGTTTGCATCAGCCTGGTCACTGTTCCTGGATCACAGAGGACCTGAGAGAACCGACCTTCAGTAATCCAGGACATGCAGCCCTGCAGAGGGACTTCCGGGTGCCCTTTGCAACTGGCATACATAAGGCAAGAGCCATTGCTCCCCAAAGCTGGGTGTGTATGTGTGTGTGTATGTACATGTGTATGTGCACACATGTACATACAGGTTGGGGAGTACTGGAGTTGGATAGTACTTTGTGCTGCTTTTCATTCACCTCCCACTGCTTCCTCTCTTGGTTGTAGTCTGCTTTTGTTGTGGGCCTAAGTAGAACTGGGCATCCTTAGAAAGCACCATGAGATAACTGGAAATCTACATTAACGATAGCAGTGCTAGGGAGCGACTCATGTATACTCAATAAGACAAAGATTTGACTCCTCAGATACCACAGAACAGCCTGAAGTAGTTCCATAATCTGCTTCTAACAGGATAAATCACATCTGGGAAAATCTGGCAGTAGCAGGTGTATTAAAAACTGGCACTGTCATTCCCTGATGACAGTGGTGATTAACCAAGCCTTCTGGGAGGAGGGGGAGGGGCCGTCTCACTAGAGGTCATTTGTGTCTGCGTTGAGCTCAGTCCAGTGCTGGAGACTGTCTACTTCAAACCACCTTCCGGGGCAGTTCTGGTGTACTCTCCTCCTGCCTCTCAGCTTGTCTTCTCTGTGCCCATGATGATGAGAACTGCTGAGGCTATGCCCACAATGCCTGACTAGTGTCTCATTCTTGGATCCCAGGACAAAAAACAAGACAAAAAATGAATAGTCAAGCTTCTGTGCTGCTATTTCTGCCTGTGTCCACTCC